GCTCAAGCATGTTGGAACAGGTACCCCCCCCCCCCCCCGACCCTTCAGTAAGGGACTAAAGCTAAACAAACATTTCATATGTAAACCCCCCTCTGCCCTCCCCCAATGCTCCCTGCCCACCCTGGGAAGCCCTTCCTGTAACCTAAGGTTGTTGCATGACATCAGCATTATTTTTGGCACAAATCTGGTATGTCAGCAAAAAAATGCAGTGTCTGTGCAGATGCCTGCTGCTATGGTGAAGGGTTGGAGGGGTGAGGGGGGCAGGAAGGGTGCAGCCGAGCACATAGCTAACACCACTGAAACATTCTTGGGTCTGCCCAAGAACGAGCCCTGTGTTCATTAAGACGATGTGAATGTAGAAGGAGCCAGTACACTACAGGTAAGCTTGCTCAGGGCTTATTCCTTAGTCATGCAGACGATTCTCTGCATGATTTGCAACAAGGACATGCTGTGTTACTGCAAAGCAAGTGGCCAGGTGCAATAAAAACCTTTCAAAGTAGACCGCAAGTCAGGAATGCTAAAGTTTTAACCAGTACCAGGTGAGCCCATGCTCATGGGAGCAGGTATAGGCAATGTAGCAATGCTGGCTGTTTTGTGGCATAGTTTTTGTTCTCTTGTAACCTTAGAAAAGTTGTGCACCATCTGCACTACCATAAGTGCCCTACATTTACCAGAGGATTTGAGCAGAGGGGGAGACCTGCCACAGCTAAGACATACTGTGATTGCAAGGGGGGCTGAACTGTGCTCCTTGAATAGCACTAGCACAGGATGTCGTCCTGGCCTGTATGTGGCTGCCCATGTAGTCAGACTTCTTTTTTTTTTTGTATACATTTTCCCACAGAAGCTTCTAAAGAGGTATTTTTTTAACTGTGTATTTGTTTTTTTTTAAATCCATAGAGCCAAGTACTCAGGGTGCCTGTAAACCTGCAAGTTTAGTCATGAGCATAGGCATAACTTGCCATCTGTAGGCTAAGTGTATTTGCCTGTAAGTGCCTGGGGGGAATGGGGCAGTCTTGTATGTTGATTCTTAATGACCTTGTCCATTGCAGTGATGGATCCCTATTATTGTCAAATGGTCATGCATGGCTGGCTGTGATTCTGTTGATCCAGAGGTCATCTTGGTGTATGGGTTGTTCAGCTTGATTCTTAAAGCAGCTATGTAGATCGTGTGTCAGAACTAGCCGATCATATACTGTTTTTTAAAGAAACATTTTATACCAATGAAACGAGATTGTTGTATGTCTTCCTACCTTTTTTAACCCATAAGCACATACCTGAAATACCAGCCAGTTAATCCATTTGCTTGTAGAACCAGGTTACTTCTTTCAGTTAGTTTAATGCTTGTCACACAGCTGTCTGCTAAAGAGGGACATCGGTGGTTTGTTCAGGAACGGTACACTAAAACTGGCTTCTCCTACACTTACTCATGGGTGAGCCCACGTAAGCAATGTATTGGCTGCTAGTGTATGGAAATAGGGGTGGGTTTGCAGTAGATCAGGCTGATAATCTTGATGCTGGCCCTGGAAGATGAATTACTTTTGTATTGCTCAGGGCCTGGTTCTGCCATCCTTGCTTCTTTGACTAGTACTTAAACATAACCTCCCATTTGGACATCAGGCATCAGAACCAGCCCTTCAACATGCACAAAGCTAATGGCCCATTTCCATTGGATGGAAGAGATGGAGACAATTGTGCCTGGCACAGGATGAGTTGGACTCAATGTTCTCCTTCGGGCACTGCCAGCCTTACTTTTCTATGATTTTAACATAGCTGCTTGATCTTGCTGCCTACTAGCCCAACTTGCAGGTGGGCAGACATCAGTGTTAGCCTCCAGGCCACTGTAGTTGCAGAGAAAAGAGATAATTACCTAGACCTTCTCTATTTGCTTCTTCAAGATTGGGCCCAATGAAGCCATCAACTTTTCAGAATTCAGAGGCAGTTAGACTGGAGCACTGGTGGGTGTGGTGAGGGTGGGTGATTTTTGCCTAGCCCTTGGGAAAATGAGGCAGCTATGCAAGCCATAAGGGGCTGCGGGGCTCTTTCTGCTTCCTCATTGTGCTTCAGTCCTGACCCCAGTGCTGCTCTTTATTTGCGGTGCCCTGGTCCAGAACAGAACCAGCTGCATTTTCAGATGGCCTGGTGTTTTTGTGACGAGGCTCAGTGCCTACTGAGCACAGGCCACTTCCTCCTACAGCAGCCCACCGTTTCCTTCACTTGGATTCTAATTTAGGTAACAACACATCTCCAGGCTTGGAGGTGAGAAGCAGCCTGTTTCCCCAGATCCTGTAGCTGACTCTGAACCTGCACCAGGACATGTTTAATCCAGCTGTAATCTCCAACTGCCCACAGTAAAGGCCAGGCTTCCACCAGTGCTGAAGTGCTCTCATATTCCTGCTGTTGCTCTGGCTGTGCTGTCATACAGCTTTCCTTTCTTCTGGAAAGTAGAGGAATTATTTTTTTCATACATGAGGCAGGACTTAAGCTCAAGGTAAGGCTCTTGCACAATGCAGGGGCCAATGCTGAAGTCTTCACACTGACAAAATTCCTGTCAGAAGAATGATGTGTTGGATGCAACTCAACGCTGGGTCTCACCACAGCCCATAACACCCAGGTGTTTCGTTTGGGCACAGAACATCTGAACCTAGGTTTTCTTACCTCTCCAAGTGCAGGGAGATGCTAAGAGAAGGGCCAGTTAGTATTTTGTATACAGCTGTAATGCACATGATTTAAATCAGAGGTGGGCAATTATTTCCATCGGAGGGCTGCTTACTGAGTTTTGGCAAGCCAGCAAGGGCTGCATGACAGGGGCAGATAAATATTAATTTTCTAAATTTTTTTAGGGGCCCTGGGGGCTGGATAGAATGGCCCAGTGGGCCACATCTTGCCCACCCCTGATTTAAATGACGCAGAGCACCAGACAGTCTATTTTTCTAGTCAACTTTTGTGAAACTGGCCCCAAATTCTCTGCTCATCCAGTAAAGACTTAGTGTTTGAAATAATGGCAATAACCTAGCTCTAAAAGTAGTCTGGCATCCATTTAAATGATTAGATCAAAGCCCCAGCAATCACTTTGGGATTATGCTGTGTTGTGCTCAGTGCCATACATGTGCAGTTCTTACTGCCTGGGTGGGAACTTAGCCTCAAAGAGCCTTAACTCTTAGAATGAGAGGGGCCTCCATGCACTTGCACCGTCAGTTGAAGTCAGTCCAGATCTCTGAAGACAGGACCTTACTGCATTCTCTCTCTTGACCTTACTATGACACATTGTCAGTCTCAGAGCAGTATAATGCCGCCAACAGCATTAGGCCTGGTACTTGGTCTACTGTCAGAGTTACAAGAGGAACATTTTCCAAAGCATCTTTGTCCAAGCAGCTGAGAATGCCATTTTTAAACCTGCTTAAATTCTAACCTTTTGTCTCAACACCCCCCCCACCCCCACTCCCCACCCCCAAAAAAATCCCACCCTCAGGCTTGGTTGTTGGTAGTGCAAAAGAACAAAACACTCCACAGATTATTACCAGTAATTCACAGGGCAGTTTTCTGTGCAGACCCAAATTGAGTAGGTAGAGGAATAGAGGAGCCACTGACTTCCAATGGTGCATCTGAAAGCACCAGCGCTGATGCCTGCATAAGCATCCCTAAAATTAATGTGTCAGCTGGCACTTCCTTTGAACACTTTCCCTATTGTCATTTATATTAATACCTCAGGTTAGTCCAAATATTTTTTTTAACCCAATTTGTTTTACACCAGTTGTGAGGGTTAGTTCTTGCCTTTCACACAGCTCCAACAGGGAAGAGATTGGCCAGCTGCTGTTTGCTTAATGTCATGCAGTTGGATACCACATGCTGCTTAACACCTCTCCCTTCCAGTGGCAAGTGAAAAGCAGTAGGGTTGAAGGGTGCTCAGACCTTACCTGCTAGCATATGGCAGCATCTCGAAGTGCAGTACAAACAGAAATTCAACCCCAGCTCCCTGGGAGAGGTAATGACTACTCTTGCCAGTGAGATGATAGCTAAAACTTGTCAGCAACTCCATGTTAAAGGGATATGTATTTTGGCCAAAGACCCAGCCTTGCACGTTTCCAAGGACAAGGGCCTGGTATTAACACAGCCACAAGCATATAGGCACTGTGACCTTGTGGTCAGTGCTTTATGCTAATAACCAACCTTAAATGCTTCCTGGAGCAAAAGGAGAAAAGTTTGTGTGTCATGAGACCCTGAGAGGGCCAGGGCTTACTGTCCCATTTTCAAGTCACGGGGTAGTGGACTGAGAGCCAAACTGCTGGAAAGCCATCATCAGACCAACCCCCCTGCTTCCTTTCAGACTATCTTACTATGCAGGGGAGAGGAGGAACGTGAGACTCCATAGGCCTTTATTTTATGTATGCTGAAAAATAATTACTCAGGTAGCTGCTTTCTTCCCTTTAAAACACTTTGAACAGAAATATAAAAACAAACAAGACATGAAAAACCACTTCCTCAGCTACCCACTCAGCCTGAAGAACAAGCTCTGGCATTGAGAACCAAAGAGATACTCTATTATAACAAACAGCGGTGATCTTTGTGGAGAAGGATTACCACACTACACTTCTTGAACTCCTCCCCCTGCCCTTCAGCCAGATGTCTTCATCAAGTGGCCAATACCTAGAGTCCCATTCAAACTCCATTATGCTCTTCTGCTAGGAACTTCATTGCTGCTAGAGGAAAGGCTGGGTAAAGGTTGAAAGACGAACGAATGCCGTCTGCAGCTGTAAGGAGTCAGACCTACAAATGTGCTGTGCAGGAAGGGTCTGCTCAATGGGTATGAAAGGAAGTTGGGGTAAAGAAGAAAGATCAGACTCCTTTTAGGCAGATGCTATATCTTCTGGCACAAAGGCATTCCCCTCAAGGGCCATGGTCTGCTGTAAGGCACTT